CAATTTTTACACGCACAATTAAGTTGTAAGTTAGTTTTTGAGGCCGAGTAAATGATGCCCGTGATGTAAATAACTTGGCTCGCACTGTCAGCTCTGTTGAAAAGGTGTTGAATGTGTAGACTCCTCCAATCCATGCAGTATGTTAAATACTGTTGTAGGTCCTTATGCAAATGGGTGAACCTGCCAGTGTTTTATCACATATCAAATATTTTACTCTATTTCATTCTCATGGAACAGAAAACTTTATTACTTTCTGATTGGGGTGCAAACCGAGTGGTACTATTTGCGTAATCCCCCAAACAAACAATCAATCAATGTGCGTTGCAGATTATTTGCAGCTGCCCCTTCGTACTTGATGCTTATTAATTATATGTAATTAATAGTAGATGAGCGCTAAAAGTACCGTTTAATATGATTGCAGGAACTCGGCCCAGAAATGTTCTTGACATATGACCAAGAGAAGTCTATGGAGTCATTTTACCCAAAAGAATAGGTGAGTTGACATGACAGTAACGGCCATAACGCTGGTCCAATTTGTCTCTGTACAGACACTATGAGGAGTTCCCTTTAGTGTGCATCAAAGGGTGGTTTTTGATGTTTTTTGTAGTGCCTTGGTTCTTTGTTGTTGATTTCAATCCTCCTCTGTCAAAATCCAGGTTGATTTGTTATCACTGAAAATGTCCTTAAAAATCTTGGCAATTTGGAAAATTGCTGGTATTGGTTTGGATTGGTGAGGCAGACTCCCTTTTCACATGCTCTGTCTAAATATCATGGTGCCGACCCACTACAGCAGAGTTCTTAGTCAGTTTGCTTAGGTAGCCTACCCGCCCTTAGTTAGAGAGACCAACTCTTATAAAACTGTTTCTGTGGACAGGGGTGGTTTCTGACAGAAACAAAGGTAGTTTTGTGGTGCCTGGTTCACTCCTGTCGACTCGAATACTCCTCCATCGAAATCCGGACCCATCAATTTATAGCCTTTGTAAATTTGGCCAAAAATGAAAAAAATAAAAAT